CATATAAAACTAAAACTTAAAAAAATAAAAATGTTAAATATTAAAATTTAATAATAAATAAACAATAAAAATAAAAAATTTAATTTTTTTAAATTTAATTTATAGTTTTTTTGTTTTTATATTTTTATAAATAAATTATTTGCTAATAATAAAAATATAAGCTTATAAATTAAATATTTTATTATATTAAATAATAAAAAACCAACTAATTAAAATAATAAAGTTTATATTATAAATAATATTATTTATTAGTTTTTTATTAAATATAAACAAATAATTAAAAGCATACTTGCAAATAAAATTTATAAAATAGTTTAAAGCTTTAATATAGGTTATATAGTTTACTATATAATTAATAAAATTTTAAAACAAATATTACTATTATAAACTTTGCTAATATTTTATATTAACTTATTTTTATTTTATTAATACTTTGTTTAAATAAAAAACATATGAAAAAAAAAACTTATAATTAACTTTATAGTATTTTATTAGTTATATAAAAATCAAAAAATAAACAATATTAAATAAATTTATAAAATATATAACTTTATTAATATAATAATAAAAATATTGTTTAATAAAATATTAAAAATATTAATAAAAAACAATAAAATCGTTATTAAATTAAAAAAATAAATAAAAAAAAAATAACTATTTACAATATTTTATTGCAAAAAAAAATATAATAAATAATAATTGCTTAATAATATAAAAACTTTTATTAAATAAATATTATATACCTTTTTATATATATATAAAATATTATATACCTTTTTACAACAATATAAATAGTCCGCTTTTTCTTTTAATAAATAGCTTCCTTTTTTAAACATAATATATACACTAGTTTTACCCCTATATTTGCTTTATTGTTTATTTGCTTTATACATGTACGTATAAACTTACCAACAAAATTTTTATATATAATATTATATATAAAAAAATAAAAATAAATATATATATTTAAATATTAAATTAAATAAAAACGAAAAAAAATAAATTAACTTAAAATTTAAATAATAATATATATAAAAATTTAAATATAAAAACGATATTATTATAGCTTTATTGTTTATATTTTTAAATATTTATTATAAAATATAATATTCTTTAAAAAATTTATATAGTTAATAAATTTATTAATAAAATATATAAAAAAATATTAATATATTAAAAAATATTATTTTAAAAAATATAAAATAATTATTTAATAATAATTAAAACGTATATATATTTTTTTTTATTTATATTTATATATAATAATTAGTTTTATATTTAAATTTAATAGCAGTATATTTTCTTAAATTTTTCCCGTTTTTTAATTAATTATTTTATATATATAATTTTAAAAACTATATTTTTATACAAACGTATATATATGACAATGGTGCATACTAGGTATGGGTAGAATTAAATGTAAAATAGAAAATGAAGACCGAAGGTCTTCGAAGTCTATGGAACGAAGTGGAATAAATACACATGTGTGTGTGGCTCCGCCACACGCACGGACGTGTACAGCCACATGTGGCTGTGCGCTATACCAGCGCGTGTCAATATAATTAATTATATAAAATATATACGATTTATTTCTATTTTCTTATAAAAAGGCCTACTTTTTACGATTTTAAAACAGGTTAGTGCTTACTTTTACGATTTATATCCACTATTTTATATGGGTTATAAATATGTGGCTTGGTAGGGTGGCGGGTGGCTCGTGAGGGCGTGGCTCGTGACACCCCGGGTTAGCTTAGTAATGCCCAGGAACTCTTGAGCTTAAACAACCAATCTGTGTAGTTGACGTTCGGGTAAGCATGTGCAATAAGCTGATTCACAGGTAACCTAGAGCAGTTTCGGCAGCAGTTTCGGCAAAAGAGAGTATTAGAAGTTTGCTAGGGTTCGTATTAGCGACAAGAACACGGTGGGTGAGGCAGGTAGGCTGTCGCACTCCGCGCACTAGAATATGCGTCTATGCAAGTTTTAAGCACAAGACGAATCTCGTCGGATAGAGGAAACCGAACCAGAGGCATAAGATCATATGACAGCAGTTCTGTGGACTCTCTCAAAAACTTACGAAGCCGACAACATAAGCAGAGCATAAAACTTCCTGAGAACAGAATACACTCCGAAATAAGTCCTAAGGGAGCCGCGAGTCCATTCCGAGGCGAAAAGCCCAGATGTGCCTCATTCCTATTGTTTCTGGGAAGTACCGTGTTCGAAATACGTAACAGGAATCATATAGACACAAAAGAGCTAGCAAAGAGGCGTATGAAAAAAAGAAATTGGCTTCATCCCTTGCAGTAACATGTCGGTCCCGTAGATGGCATTGCCAGAACGCATTAGTCCGCTAAGTTACCCGATTCGAGCGCCCTCGGCAAGCCGTGGTGGTAGTGTCTTTCCTACTGGTATTGCATTGTGGGTTGGGGGGCATATGCTCTGGCTGATCACTCCAGTGTCTCTCAAAATGGCTGAATGTCACGCTGCAAGGCATCGATGCAGAGTAAATTTAGAACCCAGAAAACCCCCGGTGATGTGTGGTAATCACTGAAACTAGGTCGCTAATCTGGGGCGATGTAAGTAAGGCTTGCAGGCTCGATTGAGGGGAACGACACACAATACTATTTATATCTACGCCCTCTGAAACTGGGGATACAATCTACAAATGTACCTAGTTAGTAAAGTAAGTCCAGTGAAATGTCTTGCTCTAATTAAGTACGGGGATGAATCGTGGTTCACTATCTATAATACAAAATTTAGTAGCCAGCGATCTGATGCATATTATGACCTGTCACCTGTCACCTATCACCAATGCCGTGATCTTCAGCTTCGCGCTACGACCTACTCTCTGAAGATAAGATCGGCAAGCTGACGGACTCTACAGTCCTAAGACGACCTTCGTCGCTACTCCCTCCCGCTCTTAGAGTGTTATTGACTATCAGCACGCCCTTAGTTGATATTTCGAGGAGTCAAGACACAGCCGATCGACATTGCAGAGATAGGTTAGGGGCCATCGGAACTGGGCGACGTATAGTAGGGAGGTGATGGGCACGATACTCTAATCCGAGTGCGAGATCGTCGGCCGAGTTGTTCTGTCCCATTGTGCAACAATGTCAAAAAGGTACTATCTTATCTATCCTTTTGAAACATTGTTTCATCTGTCACTGGCATATCCAAGGATGATGATGATAGCATAGGGGCCTTCAGTGTGGGGAGTAACACGCGGAAAACGCGACGCAAATACGACATAGGGAATGATAAAGTGTAAATGAAATACGTAGGAGTCACGGTTGTGCGGCAGTGGAAGGAGCCGGTCGTGATCTCCCTGCTGACGGTCGATCCGGATAACCTTGAACCAACAATGAGGGATTTTTGGATTGCGTGTTAGGGGCGCGAGATATGTGTTATGGCGGGTATAGCAAGAGGGATGAATATGTTTTCCGGTTTTGCTATCATTACTCATTGCTACGGTCACTTTCGAGACAGGACAGGATTGCCTCCCGGACACCGAGGGAAAGATGTAGCATACATCGGTTGATATAAGGGTTACATTTGAGTGGTTCTCACGATAACGGATGGCAACGTCCTAGCGGGGTCTGGATTATCCATCTGCCGGTATTCTTCCAATCCTCCTGGATATGAGTTGTTTTGTATTTATTAGGGTTGAATCCAATATCACCGAGCGGAAATCTAGACAGATGTTGTTTCAGGGCCAACCACGTCATTGTCAGTTCTGGTCCGTGGAGGATCGTCAATGGGAAAAGATGAGTTGCTCTTGTCTGTCGGGTGGCGTCGAGTCCGTGTAATAGGGCCCTTGAGACAGATCCTCTTGTGGTTACAAGTCCGAGGAAGCGCCAGTATGGAAGGTGTAGATAGAGCACACATTTGACGTAAGATCGATCTCCTTTGCGTGACTTGCTAGAAACGGAGATTTTTCTTGAGAGGGCGAATGAACATCTATGCTGACTAACACGCAATGGTTCGTTCATGTAAGACTTTCGGTCATCAGGTCCTATAGCGTTTCGACTTGACAACAGGGAAACAGAACAGCCTAGATCGAACCCTTCCGGTCGTGCCCGAGCAACGGACTAAAAATGTCTAATCCAATCCCGTAATTTGGCTACTAGAAACCCTTGCCAACACGAGAGAGCCAATGTGTTAGTACTGGGGTCAGGGGGCGCCTACCGGCCTCATGGTTACACAAACAGGGTCTCAAGCGACAGGTTGGCATGTATTCATGCCAATCAAAAACAGGTCAAGGATAAAGAATGGACGCGTGTATATCTTGGTTCCTGACCCCCACCAACAATAGGTATGGGGCCAAAACTCTAGAATGGAACGCTGGCAAGCAGGTCCTAGAATTAGGACCATGCGCCGGGGTGTAGTATTCTCCATCATCTCCTTGCTTGCAGTATGACCGAGATTGGGGGGTGTCGGTAAGGCGACCATTGTAGAGTACTTTCCTGGTCTCAGGGGCTGTTATCCTGGGAGAGAAGTTTAGTCTTCGAGAAGTCCTACGCCTAAGCGAGGCCTATTGACGATGACATCCTTGACTTGGTGGTTATCAACACCTGAAGGATCGATCCATTACACAGCATCATCATCGCCAGCTCTCGGGAGGATGCGGAATAGCCAAGTGGTGCTGTACCTACTTGGCCTAGGAATGGAGTAGGAAAGCGGTTAAAAGGAGATACTACGATGGGAAGAGAGAGGAGCTGGACAACGTCGTGTTAGGATGTAGTGTAGTGACAGCGGGACGCTACCACGTTCGCCGTCATGCCACACTACGCTGACAGAAAAGTACCATACAGACTGGCCGGCGGCTCTGGACAGCGGAGAGAACACACCCCGCATTAGATCCATCCATTTATTAGCGATCATTATATCCAGACCTTTGCCCCGAAATACGGATGGGGCTGAATGCACAGGATAGATACTGTAGATAGAATAGATACGCAGATGATGATAGATAAGCTGTCAAAGCAACAAAGAAAAAGTAAACATGCCCCCATCCCGGATCGAACGAGAGACCTTGTCATATACTTGTAATGACTTTACAAGTGACACGCGCTACCACTACGCCATAGGGGCTAGTTTATAAGAATTTGTTGTCTTTGGAGGTTATATAAATCAGGAGTGGGAGCTGTTGAAGCAGACGAATGCTGTTGATCATCCAATAGAAGGTCATTCTTGAGCGGGAATATGGTGCCTGGTTGTCGCTGGTGGTGCATAATAATGCAAATGGAGGCACATACTATAATAGGTATCCCGTAATAGCGACAAGAAATGTAAATCCACATTGGGGATAGGGGATAGTACAGAAGCTTTTAATAGAATAGAATATGTGGAGGACAGTATTGATACTTCATGATAGTTATTAGTATTTGTGTCTCTTTAGTAGACCGCCGTCATATTCGCTTAAATTGGCCACCAAGGTGCTCTCTACGGCACTGTGCGACCGTTAGGATTCAAAAGTGCAATAATTGTAAATAGAAATCCGACTGTCTTGAGTGATGTTAGGCGCATGCAGGTTTCAAGTTCCAGGGACATTCAGGGGTCAGACAAGGGGACAGGCATTGTTAGTAAGGACTAGTAGGCCGTAGAGTAGTACCGGCGGTTATCACTCGGCAGTAGACGCAGTGATCGGTACGCTGATATAGTTACACATCGGAAGGGGCTTGACGTTAGACGTAACTTCGTGCGAACGCTCAGGGTGGTGGTCAGCTCAGGTTGGGGCTGGATAGCAGTACAACTGCAAGTAAATGCTGGGGTTGCTCCATCTTAGACTAGTACATTGATGTAGAAAACACGAACTGCTGGTCATATGGTGTTCTTAACTCACCTTAGAGACGGGGAGCTCATGGGGAGCTCTGGTCGACACTTCATCGGGGACTTGGACGAATTCTTTCTCGGGGGGATACCTGGCAACGAAGTCAGTATGAACTCACTGATCAGCTTCATAATGCTTAGTTATCGGACATAATCAATATGACTCACCACTCATGTACAAGCTCTGCTAAGCTTTCTTAGGTGTTCGATCCCCAGCCATTATCTAATTCCTACAACCCATAGATAGTCATTCATTTGAAACTTACTTGGGAGCAAGCATATTGAGAATCCCTGCTCATGAAATCCACTCAAATTCTTGACCTGTTGAGGTCTCGTGTCGGAGGATTCTTGTATTTAATCTCTTCTGAGCTGACAGAGAATAGGTGACTTCGAGTGAGCCGTGCCATTGCAAATCTACTCTCGGCAATGACACCACGAATCAATTTACACGTGAATGAGATCGAGTGGCCGCGAGTACGTGATAACAGAGATTTTAATCGAATAGACAATACCTATATGGTAGATATCTATTCACATCGCTTTTGTGCATGTATTGGTCTCTTCTCATAGGGTCATGTTATGATTAGGTGATCTGACCTGGTCAGTCATAAATGGGAATGTCTAGCGGTCGTAAGCACAAACCGTTGGTCCTCTTAGGCCCTCCGTTGCTTCTGAGGCCCATAAATTGAGCCTCATTCAAATTTACATGGCACATCAGCTTGTACTATACCTTTCTTTGCTACGTAAGCGGCGCCTCATAGCAATCGTGGCTTGTTCTCCAACGAGTGTGGAGGGATGGTGTGTGACACCGGGTCATCTACTAGGGTCGGTACCATACTTATGAGCTGCGTTGGAACATATCTCATGTCCGACTTTTGGGGTAATGTATTCTTGACCGCCTCCTTAGAGTTGCATTGGGGCGCCTCGTTACATTGCCGACTCGAGAGTGTGAGTGGGAAAGGAATTTGAATGGTCTGGCAGAGCCTCATGCCCACTTTGCGAAAAGACACTATTGATCAGTCAAATGAATAGCAGTGAGCTCAACGTGGCAATGGCATAGTCGCAATTCGTGCTTAGCGGTGAACTGGGCGCAAGGACAATCCCCAGGTGACTTAACCGGGTATCGCTTTTGCCGTTGAGGCCGCGCAGCTGTCTATAGAGAACTGTGGTATGCCCCATATAAGTCATTCTCAAATACAGCACATACTAGGTAGTCAGACTGCCATACCTACCACTATAATGTGGGGTCCGCAGGTAGACTGGATACTTGTCACCCGCGCTTAGAATACATACCTATGAGGAAGTGGGATTTGATTGGGCGGGGAGGGAACCGTAGGTGACACAAGAGACACTTGCTCGTAACCGTTGCAGGGTTGTCAGGGTTGCAGGGTGATACGAATAAGCTGACAGAGACAGAGAGAGACGCAGAGACGCAGAGATACAGAGATACAGAGATACGGGATGTGCCCCCCTCTCCCCCCCGCGGACGTGGATTCGGGCTCACTCTGCTAGGGCGGGCATGCCCGCGGGCGGCACAGCCTTCGAAGCAAGACACCGTTTGGATACTCGAAGGGAAAGGGAATGGGGAAGGGGAGGAGGAGAGGGAGGGGGAGGGGAGGGGGAGGGGGAAGGGGTAGGAAGGGAAAATAGAAGGGGAAATAGCGCTGTTGTGATAGGCGGGCGGTAGATGTATAGGTACTACTAGTACTACTATACTGGTACTACATGTACGTAGGTAGATGCACTTAGCCACACTTTGTGGGCGTAGTAGACGCACGAAACGGGCACTTCCGGGGCAGTTGGGGGCTGTGAACTGCGAGCAAGTCAGCGGTGACCTGCCGGCGACGGACCAATCAATAACAACAACAACAACAACAACAACAACAACAACAAGCACGGCAAAACCCCATTGCACCACAGACTCAACGTGACGAAAGTGTACCTGTGGATTTCGCCTTGTGTGCAGAGTGGCTGCCAAGTACGCCAACAACTGCCGATCTTGGGGATTTGCTGTGGAACAGATACTTGAGGTGAGTATGTAAGTGGGCAATGTCGGGGGCGGGCATGTCCTCCTGTGCGGCCCCGAAGAAACGGCGCCGAGAAGATTCAATCTGCAATCTGCAATCTGCAATCTGTGCTGTGTCTTAGCGAAGGGGGGTCGGGATATCGCAAATAGATGCCTTCCTTTCTGTCTGCCTCTGGGTTGCCTTGGGACTAGAGGTTATCGATGTTTTTCGATATTAATTAAGCATTCGGTGAGAAGAGTGGCGGAAAACTGCGAAGCATACTTACGTATAGGTACAGTAGGTAGGGAAGAGGGTGGGTCTCTTTTTTGGTTGCCTCTGTCCGCCTGCTCTGCACTGTTACTGTCGCACAGAGCATTAATATGCCAAGTACCTAAGGGAAGTAAGTAAAGTAGGTAAGTACTGTCTGTACTACATACATTTTCCTGCTTTCGTGCTGGACTCTGGTCGCGCACTGCTGGACTTTCCCCTACCTACCTACTGCACCTACGCAGTGCTGTATCTTAGGTACCTATTGTAATAATCAGTTATGTCTAGTCCCTGCAACCCACTCTTCACAACCCAACAGAGCACCTGTAAACGGAGCACCAGATAGGGAGGGACTAAAATTCTTACAATCTTAGTACTTAGTATAGGTACCTCTTAGGTGCTTTACCCTATCCCAGTCAGCCACTGGTGGCATAGGTGCTGTGCCTACAGTGTAGTATAGGTGGTAAGGTATGGTATAGTATCTAACCTTAGTATACTCATGCTTCCCCGACCGAGACTTCTCCAGCAGCCAACCAACAACCAACAACCAACCAACAGATTCATGCCTACGAGCTGATGGGCTTCGGTCGGGGGGCTGCGTGGCTTCGCTGCCTTTACCGGTTTAGGGACAATAGTCTGTCTCCTTCTGGGGACTCGCTGTAATGATGCGAGACATCGATCCGCCGTCATTCTCGTCATTCTGGCACTCTGATGCAGCTTACTTCATACCATGAATGACATCTCAAGAAAAGCCACGCTGCATGTCCATCGTCCCGCAACGCCCAGGTTGACAGAGTTGTGCCAGCGACCAGATGCCTTGCGTCGGAAACCGGCCTACAGTTGCTCAGGCATGTTCTAGAGTATGTGCCCGGATCAACCAAGCGCACGTCTTCTCGTTGGTCGACCATCGCTGGCCCTCTCCAATAGTCGGCCGCATCGGAGTGCGCGACGGCGATTGGACCAAATGCTGCTGTTCAGTTACTGTATCTCATGCTATCGTGGCCGCGTATTGGGTCGTTTGAAATGCCCCCTCTGTACCACACTGCGTTCCCATCTCTCTGACTCGCCATTACGCGGGACCGACAGGCAGCACTCTGATCGGGCGGGTCGTGGTCAAGCCAATGTCGCACCTCAGAACACACATGCACTCCCGTTGCGCAGTACGTGTCTGGTGCCTGAAGCCCTCCAGTTTTTGGTAAGTTGTAAATCGTCGTACGCCTTCCTGTCCGCCTCAGTGGCTTTTCTCCCCAGTGGCTATCCCCTCACCTTCGGTATCATCCCATCTTCCATGTTTTGATGTCACTATTTACCCCTCAGATATCTAGTATACAATCTCGGTCCATATGCCTGGACTCTGTCGTTCGATTTTTCTTTGTACCTAAACACATTCAAAGGCAGATGGGCCTGGAGGAACAGGGGACTGTTAAGTAGGACGGAATTAATTCCCATCGAAGATGGGTCGCGTACTAACATACTCACGCTGCGCTAAGCTGCCTTTCCCAGATTTGTAACATCCGTTAGGCAGGTCCTAGAATGCGACGCGCTCCAGGAGTGGGCTGGTTTTGGTTGCCTTGTGGGTAAGTAGTAAGTATGGCCGCGCCCTACTTGTACAGAAGTACTATACATGCAGGGGTCTTGTGCTGAATGGGGTGGGTTGCAGGCCTGCAGAAGTTGTGCTGCAGAAAAAGAAACACAAGTTATCAGGGTGTGACTTCGTGAGGCTCTGCGGTGGGCCCATGAGTAAAGTGGCCTAGGCATGGGTCATGGTATGTGAACCCAGCATCAGCAACTCGAGGATAAAATAGAAGGATTTAACGGCAATGGCTTTTTCGGTGTCTATCTATATCTATGTTAGACAGGCTGCGCCGCCCTCTTGCTTCACTAATGGTACCCTCGACCCTGTTCGATTTTCCTCTTCTCGATTATACAGACCATATACAAACGATCCAGATCCCGCCCCTAAGCCCTTCTTCCTCTCCCCGCCAACTG